TCTTTCCCTCCTCCGTTCTCTCACTCCTTCACCCCCATGTTTGTAATAGTCTCAGTATACACCCATCTTTTTCTGTCACATTTCTCAAATAGCTACTTAGTGTGTTCTTTCTTTCTCTTTCTTTCCCTCCAGTACTGGAAGCCTAGGATAAACAGGCACAGTCTCTGCTGAGCTGAACTATTGTACACTTAACAAGAGAGTCAACAAACATATGCAACCACACATGGACACACTGACATATACTTTGAAACAAAGATATGCATGCATAAAGCCATGCTGGCTCCCTTTGCTCCCAGTGGTCATGTGATAAAACACTTGCATCTCATCACCTCTCACCTCCCTTTCTCTCTCTGTTTATCTCACTCAGTAAGAATCTTGGAGAAGCTTGGCAGAAGAGGAAAGGAGAAAGGGAGATGTTGGACAAATGAGAGGAAAAAGAGGAGTGTATTGTGCAAATGCAGATTGAGTTCCAGTCATTCTCTTTTCCTTTTGACTCTCACTACCCGTGTCGCCTCATGCAAATGCTCCAATGAGAGGAAGGGATTGTGTTGGGTTGGCCTGTTAACACACATTCATACCTCAGCAATATTAAACTCAATTAAACCCACAAGTCTCCCCCATGAAGAAAAGTGCAGCTGAACCCTAAACTATGTTAACTCACCCTCAGTGAAAGGTTCCCAGTCGTAGAGGCGACCCATAAACTCCTGGGTGTTAAAGGCTGCACACTGCTCTGCTCTTGAGTCCAGAGCACCTCCTCCACAAACCTGGACAGAAACATTGAGAAAGAAAACAGGAAAAAAAAGCACAAATATTCAGTGCCACACATTGAACTATTATGTAATCATCCAGCTTTTAAACCTGTTTCTCTCCCAGGCCTCAAGGAAATAAGGGTGGAGTGGACTGTTGTCAGTAAAACACCAGAAAAAAAACAGCTAATAGGGACAGGGAGAAATAACCTGAGATCATAGAGGTGAGCGAAAAACATGGCATACCCTTATACAGAAACACACACACACACGCGCACACACATGTCTCCAGGGATGCCTTTGGCAGTCAGCGAGTGTATTAGAACCATATGGAAATAATAGATTTTTGGAAGTGGCTGCACACATAAATCCACTGTGACTTTCAGTGCATAACCACAGAATGTGAATGACTGTGTGAGCACGTGTACGTATGTGCAAGTGTGTATGAGCACATGTCCACCTTGTGCTCATTCAAGCAGGATCCTTATGGAAAGAGTTTTAGCATGCCTGCTCTTAAACGACAGCTGAAACATCAGCACAGACAGAGCTCTGCTGGTTGCCTTCGGACCGACTAAGTCCCTGGGCTTCGCCCCAGTTCTGTGAGACACAAACATACAAAGTGGCCAAAATAACAAAGTGTATTTACTCAAGTTCTGCACTTTTTGCGGGTTACTTTTCTCTGCAAATGGCAGTGTCTCTCTGTCAGTCGGTCAGTTCACCACTTTAGTGCAGACTGAAATATCTCAACAAATATTGGATGATTACTATGAAATTCTGCACAGAGGTTCAGTGTTCAGAGCATTAATCCAAAAGGCTTTTCATCTAGTGCCATCATCAGGTCAAAATTTCAGTGTGTCCAGTACTTTGCATTATGACTAAATACCATTAAAACTAGTGATATTCCCATCAACCTCAGTCACAACACTAAAGATTAATGACTGCTTAAAATGAACCCATTGTCACTGTAAGCAGGCTAGCACTGCCTTAGCTCAAAGCACTGCTGTGTCTAAGTATAGCTTCACTAAGCTGCTACAGAATTAAAAATCTAATAATTTAATACATGAAGCTACTGATATGAGCCACTTAGCTAATGAGCCGCTAGTGGTGCTACAGTCATATCCAATGGACATGATGCAGTGGATATGAGATCATGAATAAGCACATTTCCCAAAATGTCAAACTATTCCTTCAAGAATATCTTGACAATTTTCCTGCCATATTTTCACAGGGGTACCTTTTGGATACAGGCTTTTACTTGTATTTGAACATGTCTACATTGTTGTACTTTTACTTGAGTCTGAATACTTCCAACACACAATCACTACTTTGAGACGCCACACACATCCTACCTAGTCAAAAGCCCAGTGAGTTTACAACCTTCTGACTTGCAGCTGGTTCAGGCACTAAACACACATACACATACACTCTGGCATGCCACACAAAAAGCTCTCCGGTTTCTTTGCGACTCTAATCCCTTTCAGCTACACAATCTTCTTCTTGTCTTTTATTCCTTTATTTCTTTGATTTGTTCCCCTGTTCCTTTTGTTTTTGCTGGACCTCTCTTCCCTCACACAGCTGTCACAAACAGCTGGTTTCTAGTCACTATTCATCTGGGAAGATGAGAGCAACGGAGCAGTTGGGTTTTTACACTCACACGCACACAGTCGCGTCTTTCTATATTTATGAGAACACTCAGTAACATAATACGTTCCCTTTACCCTAACACTAGCCTTAATCCAGCATTATGTCTAGTTTTAACCCTCAAAAAGCCCTAAGTTGTGAGGACTGACTAAAATATCCTCATAACAATAGCATCAACAACAATTTGTCTGCAGCGTACTAAAGACATGCAGAGGTGCGCACACGTACACACACACAGACCAACAGTTCCCATGTGAACCAGCCTCTGCAAAGTGTAACTCATGGATAAATCATCAAAGCATGCACTCACTGACACTGGCCTTGCTGAATTTCATACTTTGACTGTGTGTATGTACATGAAGGAATGCATGTGGCCACCGTGTCACAAGGCACTTATAAGGATCGTCTGTTGTTTCTGTTCTGGCAAAGTGTGAAATCAGCTCATCAGACTTTATGTGGTCTGATCTGCCACAGTTTACGCTGCTGAAACAGACTTACTTTTGTCTGATTTATGGGTGGTATGTAACAGTCGCCTTTAAGCCGCTTATATAAGAATGTGTTTGATCTGCAGCCACCAAATACGTGGGTGTATGTGAGCACTTGATGGTTAATGTTTTCAAGTAGTTGTGCAAATCTGCCTGGATATGTGTGTGTGTGTGTGTGTGAGAAATGTGGTTGGTAATGGCTGTAAATATTTCTGCTGGACATAAACATGTTGAACCCCATTTTAAACTAGATAGTTTCTGTATATCAGTATATGGGTGTGGGCTTGTAAGACCATAAGCAGTGAGTGGACAACAATCCAGCACATGCACAAGGATGGTGAGTGTGCAGCACAGGGACAATATGGTAAAAAGGAAAGAAAGAGCCTCCATTAAAGAATGGAAAGTGAAAAGAAAGAATGCAAGAAGACGTCAGCTGTGTGCGTTCATGCATCCACAATTGTGTGAGCGCTACAGGGTGAGTGGATTCTCCTAAAAGAGTTTAGAGTTTGAAAAAACAGAGAGGCTAATGGACTGAATGGAGAAAGGGAAGCAGGGAGGTGAAGTGAGAGCAGAAACAGGAGAGCGATGACAAACCCACTGGTGTTCTCTGGTGCTGGAGGAGAATTTGTGTGATATTGTAAAGGCTGGTATACTGTGTGTGCAGGGTTAGCGGGGCTTCTTATAACCACCAAGAGGAGCATGAACAGGGGGAGAGGGAGGGTGGCAGTTTTTGAATGAACCAAAGACTGGGAGAAAAGAGAGTGACAGCTTTTACAGAGGCAAAATACTTAAAGAGGGGGATGAAGGAAGGGGAGACATGGTTTGTGATGAGAGAAAGGTGGTGAGGATGGGCCTGGGCCTGTGGATGAAATCAATCACTTGGCAGTATTAAAAAAAGTTTAAAACTTTACTGGCCCCTGTGTATCAACCAATCGACCTACTGTAAACAGGTCTACGTAACAATGTAAAACCCCCTTGAGGTTCCTGGCTGTTTACAAATGAAAATACTTCTTTATGCTCTGATTCATTATGATGAACTTCTGATTTAAATGGCTGCTTGTGTATAGCAAAGCAGATGCTTAAATCATTAAATCAGACTGACAGCATGAAAGAGTGAAAGATGGATGGAGCAGCAGAGAGCAAGTGAAAAAAATGTGAATGCAATTGGTGGAAGAGAGTCAGTGTTTTTTGTACGGGAGCTGTGGCAGTTATAGATGTGTTTTACTGCCCAGGAGGTCGGGGGAGGGGAGAAAAGGCCTGTGTGCAATATATAATAGCATATGAAGGGGGGGGCTAAAGACTTTGTTCTGTGCACACACATATAAACTCACAAGCCAAAGTCCTGACCACACATTACATGCTTACGTGAATCCCAAACACCAACCAGGACAAGACTAATCTGTTTGGAGGAGGAACAGGTTACAGAGGAAAGTAGGGACCTTTCATCATGTGCGTTTATT